AAATAGTTGTCAGATGGTTGTTATAAAGGCAAAAGTGGAAACTTTATGTGCAGTTTTGTTTCAATATAACTCAAGATCGATTGATATTTCATAAATAATGGTCCTATATAAAATAAAAGAAGATAAAATTACTTGTCTTTAATGTCATTAAGATTTTTCTCCAATTAATGTTATTGCCGTGAGAGCACAGCGAACGATGATGTATGCAAAAAAAATTATAAATTTTTCGTTAATATTAACCGATGTGAAATGTAAGACGGCCTACATTTTATGCATAGATGGCATTTTTCTAGAATCAATGGTATCGCATTTAGAGTGCAAAATACGCCTGGCTGTTACTTTGAAAAGGGCACTTAATGTCCCTCACTCACTAACTTCTGAATGAAATTTACATCCAATAAAGTTATGTGCAAGTAATTACGGCGTCTTGTGAATCAGTTTACATTCCAATTGGTAAAAGAATAGTACTTAATAATGTGAAAAATAAAATTAATATTTTGGAAGACAATGTTTTTATGGGCATTTGCTACTTACAAAATAATAGCATTAGCGAGTTTTTTTATTCTCTTCTGGATATTTTGTACATTTAGCCTCGCTGAACCTGATACAAAAAAGTGCTGGTGTGGTGCAGCTGCAGAAGTTGGTAGGGTAGCAATGTGTGCCTTGTAACGGATGTAGATTTAGAAGACGTATCTCAACTGGCTGAATAAGGAAAGGTACGTTCTTCGCTTTGGGGCGAAATAGTGAAACCCGAAAAAGTTTACCAACTTCAGCAATCATCTCATTAGATGCGTTGGAGAGTTTGAATAATTTTATAGTCAGCGATATTAGTGTTCTGGATCTGTTAGAAATTAATTTTTCCCTGTTCATCCATGCCGAGGGTTTGCAACCACTCATTTGCTTGTGAGAAAAGAAATTTCTCGGTAATTGTTCCAATTATAGCAGCAAACGAAAAAATGTGGGCAAATAAACTTTGTTCTTCTCCTCTTGTTTCAAAAAGGAGACAGTTTGTATGCTTGCGTGCAGAAAGCTTTCAATATTACCAACAGGTTTATTACATCCTCACCAACTTCAATCACCGTCTTACTTTTTGTATCTAAAGACAAAGCTGTGTTCATTATCTGAGTGTCTGCGTCTTCCTTCATTTGTTTGCGTTGTGTCATTTCTGATGATAATAAAATAATATTGTAATAAATAAATAATAATTAATAAATATAGAAATCAACACTGATATTAAACGGCTTTTATTATCCGTGATAGCAAAAAAAAATGTATTTGGTTGTCGTATGCATCATTGTGAGGTCAAACACACGAACGCACATTCATAGACATTTAACTTCGCTTAGTACTTCAGAGTAGTCATAAAAACAACTGCTTATGAATCATATTTTAGCACATACTCAACACTGTCGCGGTTGGACTCTTGTATAAAAGAACTCTACGAGATAAAACCCTGTCATTGATTGACGTATTGAACTTGGGCCTGAATTTCTTATTTGTTATTAGTTTGAATCCTTTAAAGAGAGTATTCAGGTTTGTTAACAATAATTTTGCCTGGAAACACATTTTTAAAGACAAAAAAGCAGAACCTTTTTTTAGATTTTTCAAAATTACTTCCAGTCCAGTAAAAAAACTGCTAATGGCATTTTAATGAAGATGACTTTAAAAACTAGTCTTCGGAACCTGTGCGTTGGAGAAGGTACGATCATCTTGCAAAATTTTCTTTTTCATGTCAATTATTTACTCCCTTTTTTCAATTAAAATGTAAACTGACTTACAAAGTTCCTTATTTATTTGTACACAAAATTATTGGATGCAAATTACATTTAGGAATTAGTGAGCGAGGGAGATTAAGTGGAATGCAGTTTTCAGAGTAATATCCAAGCATATTATGAATGCGATACCATTTATCCGAGAAGAAGGTCTTGTCTCCACAAACTGTAGGCAATTTTATCCTCTTACATTTCATATCAGGTTAAATCCGCGAAAAATTGATACGTTTTCAGTTATATTGAGATAAAGGAGGATAATTCCCGTTTCTTCGTGTGTTTTGCTTTGCCGTTTCGCGGTGCCCGCACGGCTAAATCATGAATAGGAGAAAAAATCTTAATGACATTAAAGGTAAGTAATTTTATCTTCTTTTATTTCCTTATTTACGAAAAATTTATGGCTTTTGAGTTATTATTGAAAAAAAAACTGAATAAAAGCGAGGGTTTTTCTTAAAAAAACGTGTTTTGGGGCAAAATGTGTATTGTAAACATTTGTATTTAGCGACCCAAAAAATCATAGAGGAACCAATTATAAAAGTTACACGAAAAACCTTCTCTTATTATCTACCATTTAATCGGACGAAAATGTAACATTTTATGACAAACTGCCGTTCATAATGGATTATATCGCAAATTTCCGTATAGTTTGAAGGTTGGAATTGTGACGCGTTATTTCTAGGAACTTCAACAGAATCGGTTCTTATAGCATTGTACTCCTTCGGCATTTCCTTGTTACAAGGAAAGCATTCAAACCTTTTCGTGGTCCCACATGAAAAATTGATGTGGCGAGAAAACCTTTCAGTGCTGAATACGAAGAGGAAGAAGAAAGAGAAAAGATATAGACGGAAGAAAGGAAAGAAGAGCAGGAGAATGAGACGGTAGAAAATAAGGATAATGAAGATGGAGAAGAGTAAAAAAATTAAAGGGTTTTTAGATATTGCCGTGGAAATGTGACACAAGGCCTACTTTGTACGTCCCAAATCATACTCCAATTTTATAATTCTTCTAAAATGTTATATAATCGTTCGTCTCTCATTATTTACATCAAAACATTCTGACCTTTTTTAAATCACATTAATACTATTTTTAATAATTTATTTTTCGATATCTTTTTACATTTGGAGCCCTTTTCAGGGTCTAGGATTGTAGATAGACTTTGTTAAAATTTTAAAAACTATATCAAATACATATTATGTTCCTGAATATTTCATATAAAAATAGCCCTTGGCCACGTGATTTTATTACGTTAACATTAATAGCCCATAGTTTTTTATACTAATGACTTTTAATATTGATATATGACAATAAAGATATAACTCGTAATACTAACTTTAGAATAGTTGGAAATTGAAATATAATAGCTTCGATTATGTCTGGTATTTTTGTATCTTTATAAAACGTGTATCTTAATGATATAACTTGGTTTTTAGATCAATCTGTATTTAAAATTAGTGTTACATATGATGTTCATGAATGCTAATGGAAATTTTAAAATCAACTTTTCAGTGCCACTTTCTTACACTTTTTGTAGCCTACGTGATATTTGAAACTCATGCTATTCGCTTAGATATTATGTTCTGATATTATTAGTCCATGAACTTTATATATTATATATATATATTATATTATATATAATAGATAATATATATATATACATATATATATATATATATATATATATATATATATATATATATATATTATATATATATATTATATATACATATATATATATATATGTATATATATATATATATATATATATATATAATATATATATATAATTATATAAGCGTAATGAAAATTGTTCTCACTTTTACAGAATGCAGATGAAACAAATGTTTCAGAGGGCAACCGACCGAAATTTTTCGTCTACTCAGTGTTTCTGAAGAAGAACATATGCAAAAAGAAGATCGGGTCTCGACTGTTTGAAAAATGGACGCTGATGTGATTCCGTAACGTTTCACTAAGGAAAAATGGAGGACAATTACTTCAACGTGTGAGTAAATATTATCATATGCTTTCTACGACAGGCTGAGTTATCTTCGACGGGCTAGGGTTTGAGTTCCGACGGTGGCATATTATTCACTCTAGCCAGATAACTATGTCGAATTCAGGCGCTGCATGAAGGAGAATTCTAGCGGCCGGCTGTTCTGATCAGACGATTATCATCTTTTTCCCGATCGATACGAGACAAACGACGGAACAGTATCCCAACAAACAAGCCTCAAACCGCGTGAATTATGGAGCTTGTCCTGGATGGGGTGCTAGGGGAAATAACTGGAGAGTGGAAAACACGAAGGCGACGTATAGCTCAGCGCCGAATCTCAGTATCTAGCAGGGAAGGAATACCGACCTCAGCAGTTGATACGTCTGGAATCAATACTCAGTTTCTTTAAAATTGCACTTAACTCTAATACATTTTACAATCATTATAAAGATTTCTAGATGAGTAATCAGAAGCAACTTAAGTCGTTTTGTAATAATAATAATAATAATAATAATAATAATAATATATTTGTCACATAAATACAGCATACGCCATGTATGACAAGTTAGGATATGTGTATAATCATACAATACACAATACAGATATTTCTAAAAATTAAATACTAGATATAAATTAAATTTAAAATTCAATTTTTGTATTAAATACAATATCATGTGATGCTATAATATAAATTAATTTTATAATGGTAGTGTAAGAAGACTTAGGTTAAAAATCAATAATAATAAAAAAAGAAATTCTTCATAGGTTTGTGCCTAGGATGGGTCTGTCCTTTATATCCAACAACCAGTTTAGGGGGGTTTGAAAATATACAATATGCCGCTTTAAATATAGCGACTACTCAAGGATGTTGATGCGTCTGGAATCAATAGTCAGTTTCTTTAAAATTGCACTTAACTCTAATACATTTTACAGTCATTATAAAGACTTCGAGATGAGTCATCAGAAGCAACGTAAGTCGTATTTTTCGTATAGTGACTCCCCAAGAAAATGTGTTGGAAGGAGAGGGATTCACTGTCATCCAATCGGGAGCTTTAATGACAGAAATTTAATTCCTAACGAATCTCCCCATTGGATGAGTGCGCCCCCTCTCTCTCCAGTCCTGCCGTAGGAGGCTGTATTGATGTCGGACATATTGACGCGTTACACTTTATTAATCATCACACGCGCACAGCGCTATTCCACGGCATGTTGCATTAATAATGACTTACGTATTGCCCAAAATGCGCGTCTCAGGAACTTACTGGGGTTCAAAAACGTCATGCACGCCAAGCAGACGGCGTTTCGACAGTGCGCGTTTCGAGTGTTCTAGCCCAAGAAAGAAGGAAAGAAAGAAGAACGAAAAAAGAAGAGACGAAAGAAAGAAGAGACGAAAGAAAGAAGAGACGAAAGACAAGAAAAAGACGAAAGAAAAAAGGACGAAAAGAAAGAAGAGACGAAAGAAAAAGAGACGAAAGAAGAAGAGACGAAAGGAAGAAAGACGAAAGGAAGAAGAGACGAAAGAAATGAAAACGAAAGAAAAGAAGAGACGAAAGGAAAGAAGAGACGAAAAAGAAGAGACGAAACGGAAGAAGAGACGAAAGGAAGAAGAGAGGAAAGGGAAAAGAGAGGAAAGGAAGAAGAGAGGAAGGAAGAAGAGAGGCAAAGAAGAAGAGAGGAAGAGAAGAGAGGAAAGGAAGAAGAGAGGAAAGGAAGAAGAGAGGAAAGGAAGAGAGAGGAAAGGAAGAAGAGAGAAAAGGAAGAAGAGAGGTAAAGGAAGAAGGAGGAAAGGAAGAGGAGAGGAAAAGAGAGAGAAAGAAAGAGGAGACGAAAGAAAGAGAGAGAAAGAAAGAGGAGAGAAAGAAAGAAGAGGAAGAAAGAGGAGAGGAAAGAAAGAGAGAGAAAGAAAGATGAGAGCGAAAGAAAGAGGGAGAGAAAGAAAGAGGAAGGAAAGAAAGAGGAGAGAAAGAAAAGGAGAGGAAGGAAAGAGGAGAGGAAAGAAAGAGGAGAGGAAAGAAAGAGGAGAGAAGAAAGAGGAGAGGAAAAAAGAGAGAGGAAAGGAAAGAGGGAGGAAAGAAAGAGAGAGAAAAAAATAGGAGAGGAAAAGAAAGAGGAGAGAAAGAAAGGAGAGAAAGAAAGAGCGGAGAGAAAGAAAGAGGAGAGGAAAGAAAAGAGGAGAGCGAAGAAGAGAGAGAAAGAAAGAAGTGTGGTTTGTTGTGTTTGATGGACTATTTCGTGTTTTCGAGACCGTCAACCGTTATGCCATTATCCCGTAAGTGTAGTACATGCTTTATCACACGAGATGGCTGTTATCTTCGTCCGCTGAATGGTGCGATCAGGCGCCGACCTACCCGTTGGCTTGCGGGTTTTCTCCAACCAGGTATCTCCAAACTGCGGGGCATTTCATGGCGGAACAAACTGTGCTCCCGACCCGTCTTCTAGTGTATTGCGCGTGTGTTTGTAAGAAAGGGGAGAGGTTATCGCTTGGGGTTAGTGGCTCGTTTGTTAGGATACTGCTCCGACATTCGTCTGGAGTTGAAAACAGCAGAAAAATCTGGCTCAGATCAGCCGGCCACTAGAATTCCCCTCCAGGCAGCGGCTGACTTCGACCTAGCTACAATATGTTATCACAAGTATCCGGACACGTGACTGAAAATGACTTACCAGTTCGTGGCGCCCTCCATCGGTAATGGTGGAATTCAAAAGGGTGTCGTCACACTCTTAGCCATGATGACAGCTTCCACTCTCTCAGGCATACTTTCAATCAGGTGCTGGAAGGTTTCTTGGGGAATGGCAGCCCATTCTTCACGGAGTGCTGCACAGAGGAGAGGTATCGATGCAGGTCGGAGGGGCCCGGCACGAAGTCGGTGTTCCAAAACATCCCAAAGGTGTTCGATAGGCTTCAAGTCAGGATTCTGTGCAGACCAGGCCACTACAGGGATGTTATTGTCGTTTAGTATGAACAGGTGCTCAATCGTGGTGAAAGAAGCAATCGCCATCCCCGAATTGCCCTTCAACAGTGTGAGACCAGAAGGTGTTTAAATCATCATTGTAGGCCTGTGCTGTGATAGGGCCGCACAAAACAACAAAGGGTGCTAGCCCCCTCCATGAAAATCTCGACCCCACCATACCACCATTTTTTGTACGGATACTTTTGATCGCATAGTGTATGTAGCTAGTGTCGAAAACCCTGCCTCCGTCTGCAGTCGAACCCTTGGACCTTTCATTCAGAGGCTCTGCAGTGTGGTTTCTTCGCTCCGCAGGAGACCGCCTCCCGCGCCCCAGACGCCTCGCCTGCCGCGGCTGCAGGAGAGCGCGACCGGGGAAGGGGTCGAGTTCGAGCAGAAGATCGCGGGGTTGGCAACCCTACGCGCTCGCAAACTGGGTGTTCACTTTCAGGTAGGAGCAGCCGACACGATAACGGAACAGAAACCACGGAGTTTGTTGATGATCGGCCTGTCTCTTGTTTGAGACTTCGTCCGTGTTGATTTTGTCGGGTGGTCTGCTGGTGTGAACAGGGACGGGGATTGTGAGTCTGGGTAAAGGAGTGACGGGTTGTTTTGTCAGAGGGCTTGGTGATGTAGGAAAGGATATGGGAGAGGAATGGGATGGGATGTAGGAGGGGAAGGAAAGCCGACAAGAGATAATAACATTGAGTGTTTTAAATTGCGTATCTTAAAACGTTCTTAGAAATCCACGTGACCAGTAGCGTGTGAAGTGTAAAGAGTTTTTGCACATATCGTTATAAATTAAAGTAGTTCCGGACTATTGCGATAGTGTGCGCTAAATTCGCATAATACCATATTCTCTTTTTATTTGTGCGACAAGGCTTCCCTCCGGTCAAAATAAATGTAATTAATTAACAAAAAATAATATTACATACACAAATAAACTACATACTACAAACATGTTAGCAAGTAAACATAACTAGTTTAGTGTTCGACATAAGTGTAACGTCAACTCTGGTTGATTGGCGATTCCCGCCATCACTTTAATGCAGTAGGCGAATGATAAAAGTAAGCTAGTGATGTTAAAGAGATTGAAAGTGGGTTAATGGTGGTTACAGAACTTAAATGAAGGTTACTGGTTGTTGAAAAGATTAGGATGTTATGGTGTTTAAAGAAGTTAAATCGGATTAATGTCAGTTAAAGAAGTTGAAAGTGGGTTATTGGTGGATAAAGAGGTCAAAAATGGGCTAATGGTGCTTAAAGAGGTTTAGTGTGTGTTCAAGTGGTTAAAAGTGCGATAATGGTGCTTAAAGAGTTCAAAAATGGGTTATTGGCGATTAAAGAGATTAATGATTTCAAACGTGGATTAATGGCTGTTAAAGAGGTTTAAAGTGACGTAATGGTGGTTAAAGACTCGCTACACTCACTCACTGATTTTATTTTGAAACTGCTTTAATTACTCATTTTGTATTTGCTTTATCTCTATTTTTAGGCGTTTTCCAACGTAGCTGCCGCAAGACCTTTCGATGACCTGATATTACGATTGGCGCCACGGTCGTCTCCCAACAAATCGACGACTTATTTCGTACAGTTGAAGCACATTGGGAAGAAGCCCCTCGCGCTGAAGGTAACCTGCCACTCTTAGAGTACGAATAAGTGACGGTAAATTAAAGAAAAACATCGCAATATCGAAACTTCGATACATCACCATATGGTTTTCGATGTCGATGAAAAGGTAGATAAAAACAATCGATATTTAAATATCGCTGTGTTATGTAGTCCGGCTTCAAATTACAGTTTAACGACTTTATCACCTACGAAATTATAAAAAATCCAACAACCCCAGAAAAATTTTGCGAACAGCAGAGGGTTTCGTGTCGCCTGGGAATCAACAACTGTGCCAGTTGCCAATGGCTATTAATTGCGAGCAATCCAAAAATAAAATAGAGGAAATTTTATATATAAAATGAATTTTTTTAAAACACCGATATTTCTGGACCAATATATCGATCTGAAGAAAATACACAAAGTAAACATTGATGTTATAATATCGATGTTTCTGCTCGACAATATCGATATTTTGAAAACACTGAAGTTTTGTGTTTCCCCTAATACGAACACGCTGCAGAGGTTGTACCGAGAGGTAGCTCAAATAAATAAATAAATAAATAAATAAATAAATAAATAAATAAATAAATAAATAAATAATAAATAATAAATAAAATTAAATAAATAATAAATAAATAAATAATAAATTAAAATAAATAAATAATAAATAAATAAATAAATAAATTAATAATAAATAAATAAATAAATAAATAAATAAATAAATAAATAAATAAATAAATAAATAAATAATGTTCATATGAAAATATAAAATAATAACTATAATTAAACAATCGTGTTTCCCAGACTTTCGTAAATGACAAGAACTTCCTGCTGAAGAAGTACTTCGAGTTCTTCCTGAAGCTGCGCAGCTGGTACCAGCTGGCCTCCTCGCACCAGCCCCTGGATGCTGAGCAGCGCATCCTGTGTGAGGGGTCGCTGGACGACTGCCGGTTCGTCATTTTCACCACACGACCTGGCTGGTGGGGCGCCCAACAGTGCCTCGAGGGGCAGGTGAGAAGGCATGTGATGGCAGTGGTAGTGGCAGTGGTCACGGTAGTAGTAGTCGTAGTCGTAGTCGTAGTCGTAGTCGTAGTCAGTGGTAGTGGTAGTGTGAGTGGAGTGGTAGTGGTAGTGGTAGTGTAGTGTAGTGGTAGTGGTTAGTGGTAGTGGTAGTGGTAGTGGTAGGGTGGTGGTGGTGGTGGTGGGTGGTGGTGGTGGTGGTGGTGGTGACAATAGTAGTTATGATGGGAGGTAGTAGTGGTGGTAATGGTGGTAATCTCGTATTACGTAATCTCATGGAAGCGACTGGCGTCGCGTGTTAAGATGATTAAATATAGAATACATTCATAACATTATGATTGCACCAGACTCCATTGCTGTCTTATGACAAGACGGGCATGTTAAAGCATGCAATAAAATGCTTAGAAAGTAATACATTAAATGTTTGAAGCTTGCTCTGACAACATTTAAAAGCCGATAAGTTGCCAACAATCAGTTTTTCGTTGTTTCTGAAAAATCTGATTTGACGGACATATAGAGATATTTGCGTGAACGCTCGTCATATAGCTTGCACGCTCGTCATATAACTTTGGGGATAATTACGTAAGTAGTTGATGTGCCCAGAATCAATAAATACTCTCATACAATATGTTTATTATCCTTAGGACGAAGGGATCCACAAGATGGCACACGACATTCTCAACACGGGAGAAGGTCAGAATTGTGTCCTGCACTTCTCACAAAAGGACAAAGTGGTAAGTGGGAATGCTGCTTGAAAAAAGTAACTGAAAAACTGATGGACCAGACTCGAAATACAATACACATTTAAATTAACTGCTAAAAATTGTTTGTTGGTTATCGTCCATTTTCAATTTGCTAGAGTAGTAGTATTTCAAATTCAAGAAAATAGTGTAATCGGCGTTTGTTCATTTGTCTGGACGAGCTCCTCTATTGCATTAAAAATAGATACCTAATTATATTGTAAAATACAAAGTCGGCGTTGGTATTAATTTGTCCATTCTAATACGTTTCTCACTCAGAAATTCGTCAATATCTAGAAATAAGGAATTAGTTTTACCATTCTCTTCTCAGCGAAAGCATTTTCCAAGGTGCAAGTATTTCTTTAACATAGGACTTCTTAAAGAAAATGTTATCAACTTCAAAATTGAAAAACCTCTGATTCATTTTCATTGTAGATAATGCCTATTTTAAACCATTTTCATATATTTTGTAAAGCAGTCTATGCGATAGTTATATTTAATGCGAAGCAAATCAAAAGAGTTAATAAGTCACACTCAGATAACAGATTGTTTTGTGAGAATTCTTGTTTTGACTCGAAAACAATTGAGTCTTCAGTGCCTCTTTTTAACAGTAGGGATCTATTTCAATCACATCGTACTCCATTATTCATACAAGTTGTACTTTCAGGTATGGTCTCATCTCAATGGGGACAGCAATGAAAAAATTTATCAACAGGAGTTCTTACCACTTTTACGTTTGTTTTGTGATCAGTCAACATCTGACATGCTGGACAGTCTTATTACGACAGAAATCAAAACGGTGTTTGGGAAATCGTTACCTCAACTAAATCTATTTTATTTCCAATACTTAGAGTTTCTCAAGGGATGGGCTAACAACGATGGAAGAAACTACTGCCTAACCGAGAATTCAGGTGAATTTGAATGGATCATTGCCGAACACCTCCGAAGAGAAGCAAGAAAAATTAGCCAAATGGAATTGCTGGAGTTCAAGGTAGGGATGCTGAATTGCTTAAGAGGTGCCTGTGATGAAAATGATATTTTTCACAAAAACTCTATTTTGTAGTTTATTTATTCATTGACATATCATATATTTTTTATTGTGTTCGCGTTTGACGATCTGCAGAAGATTCTTCCCTATCCAGAAAATGTCACGCCTATGCCGATACCACAATCTTCTGAATGTCTCACCAACCATGTTTTTTTCCTAGATTAGTATTATGCAATGTGTAACGTAATTAGCCAGGTTGCCTCAATGGCCATCGTATTTGGGACGCTTGGGAGGGATTAGCCTAGCCACAGGAAGTAGGTTTTCCAGAAAGGGAGAACGCGGAAACGGGAGACACAAGCTTTGGGGTTTCCGGCTTAATAGAAGCTTTTCACTGTTATAACAAGCGAGGGGGTGGCGTGACGTAGAAGGTCACGTGGGCCTCGGCCTATTAACTTTGAGTGTACAGAGCCAGTAGGTGGGTTCTGGAGACAGCGGAGAACCTCGTGCGTGTGCACAAAACTTGGCGCACGACGGTGCATATGCGAGCCAGGCTCGCGAGGCTGGAGTCATTAGTTGACGAAGCCTGCGGACTTTTTAGTCCTTGGTGACTGCGGTCACGGGGGAGCGATGCTGTGTGCGTGCTCCGAGGTAAGGTGGTTGAGTGCCACGATTCACGCCGATTCTCATCGGATAAGATCGCTCCTGCGATCGAGGCAAACCAGCCGTTGGTGCGCCAGAACGGACTTTGTGTCCCAGCGTGAATCCGGTCACGGAGCTAGGCTTTGTGCGCGCTTCAAAAGTAGGAGTGGCTAATGCCACAATCAAAACAATCTTTCAATCGTGTTTGGATCGCTCCCGCGTTCAAGGGATAGTAGGTCTATCAGAGCTAGGGTGTAAGTAGATTATTAAGTGTATATATTTGTTTTGTTTTCTTTGTTAATAAATATATTGTTATATCGAAAGCTCTGTGTTTGTGTCCTGTGAGTATCCATGACGTCACACATGTATGCTAAGTTTTGTTGCAATTGCTCCCATAAGTTTCACCAAATATAATACAGCGAATGAGAATTATTTTTGTGAGAGGAACGTGGCACCTCCAAAGCTGCGAAATGTTTCAAAGCATTCCTTATAACTCAAGGGCTTATGAAAAACAAGAAATTCGATGTTACGTCACAGTTTGAAGAGACATCCATTTCTCATGTGAAATAATTAATCTGTAAATAGATCTCACTAATATTGATTCCACTTTGTAATCATGGAATAATAAAATAAGTTTAATACCGATTCTTGGCGGATCCCGACACATCGAGCCACGGACCTCTTCCTTCTTTTGTTTTTTCCAATTTCCATCATTACGGTTTGGTACTCGAATTGGGCTGATTCTCCGTTTCACAAATTCTTCTTTAACAATAGAGCGGATAAGCGGTAATATTTTAGTCAACACCTTTTGTTTTTCATTTGCAGTTTTCGCAAACGCAAAGTGTCTAGCATAAAATTTTATGCATACTCTTTTGAGGTTAGGGTTCGTCTGTAGCAAGTGATATTACTCGCACAACTTTTCTTGCATGAAGACCTTGCTCCCCATCTGTTATAATAAGCAGTTGAAGGCAAAAGCTCGCAGCGAGCACTGAAGACAACATGCAAAACACATCTTCACTGGAGCGAAATAGAAACAATATCTTTTGAAGTCAAGACCTTCTGACCGTAATTTTCTCCAAAAAATGTAAAGAAATGACATAAAATGGTGAAGATACATCACAGGAGATTTCTCGAACTCCTGAGAAAGTTATAATGCAAATTATGGAGAAATTTGCAAAGGCTTAACTGATTCTCCAGAGGTTTACAGTGCTTCATAAAGTCAAGTGCTAATTTCGTAACTAATACCCCCATTATACCTGCAGTTCAAGAAAAGTTACGCGAGTAATATTAGCCTTGCACTTTTGTTTAAAAAATAGAGGCAATTTGGTGAAATAAAATTCCCCAACATCCAAATTTCCCAAATGTGTGTGTGTGTGTGTACGTTTTTGGTACGTTTGTAAGTACCCCATCCCACAAATAATTAAAAAAAATTATTTGCTCTCAACCATGACGTGCTCCATTATCCACTCTGATAAAAATATAAAACCAGCTTAGAGTGCTGAAAAATTGTGACATTTTATGTTTTCCAATGATTATTGTGTCGTATGCTCTTTTTATGTTCTTTTAAATTCTTCAAATCGTTTCTTGCTACGATTTTTAGTTTTCGAGAAAATATTTTTTTCGAAGCTAGTGTCTACTGTGAAGCACTTAGTGAGTGAACTTGAGATGAATTTTCCTGAATTGGAAATATTCAGCACGTTCAAACTTCATCAATCAAAAACTATTAAAGATAATAATATAATAATTTTTGTTGAATGTAACCCATGAAATTATCTAGTGAATGAACTAGAATAGTTAATATGACACCAAAGTTTTACATTTTATGAACTGAAATGTCCAGACAAAATTTAACAACAATTTTTTTCTCAAATAAACAAAACCTGGCTCTTTAGTTTTCACAGTATCTTTACCATTCTATTTCATCCACTAGATAATTCAATTGTGATTAATTAAAAACTAGAAAGTAAATTATATCAATTTGTTGAAGAGTTATGATGTTCGAAGTAAAAACCTGCATTAGTGCCAATTATTTATAAATAAATTGAAAAAAAATTATCTCCAAAATTATTCAGAAATCAAATGTAGAATAAAATAAGGAAAATACAATAGACCCAAAATTGTAGAATTTTTTTTCTTGGGTAGCCAGCTGCCTTAAATTAATCTCATGGCCACTTACAGGCGGAAGACCCGCGCACCATAGCCCTGCGGAACGCCTTGGACTCGAGCCCCGCCCTGGCCGTGCAGGTGGCCGACGTGCCCGCGGGCATTCGGGCGGCCAAAGTGCTGCAGCTCCTGGAGGCCGAGCAGCAGGACTCGTGGATATACGTGGACAGCGAGGTCCTGCGCCAGTACGACCTGCAGGCCCTGACCGCCGTGTGCCAGGCGGCGCACTGCCGGGTGCTGGTGCTGGACGTCGAGGTCGTTCGCAGGAAGCTCAAGCAGCTGGTGCTGGCCGTGGCCGGCGCCGTCAAAGTGGTCGACTTCGGGTTCTGCCTGCTCAACGCGACCGCCGGTCGCGTACCGTTCGCCCGGGTGAAGGACGAGTGGGCGTTCACGCAGCTGACGGAGGCGGCACAGGAGAAGATGCTAGACAGGGCCGTGCTGTTTCAAGTAAGTCGCCAAAGCTATACGGGGGATCAGAGCGTCAGCTGATGTCGCTGCAGTGCCTCTGACCGCAAGCCTGCTGAGCTTCTTTTAAATACAAGTCTGGGGTCTATAGGATTTCGTGACACAAGTTTAATAGGAAAAGAAATATTTGGGATATTTTACTCGTACGTAAATTCAGATAGTACGTGTGGGGAAGGATTTGCACAGTTGTCGCCTTCTGTTAGTCTGCTACTAATATCACAACAGAGTGCAGATGTGGCTTTGGGGTTTGCTGGACCCCCAGTATTATATTTACGTACCCCAATATTATATTTACGTGTGTCTTTTTCAAAGTTGTAATTTTGGTTTGGGTTTGTTCAAGACTTTTATCTAGATAAAATGACATTAAACATTAGAGATAACGTTTATATATAAACATAACTTTGCGAGATTTGCTAGATAAAAGTGGTGACGATGATACATCGGGGAGTTTGTTTGGTAATGACTTCTCTTTCAATCCTCATTTTGTTCTTGATGACCATTTTCAATGGTTTTAATTTACTTTTTACACCAATGTTATGTTTAAGTGTGTTAATTAAAAAGCAGTAGTTAACCGTTGATTTGTTTTCATTTTTCAGTCCAAATTTACTCCTATCAAATATCTAATTAAGTTTCATTTAGGTGTTTTTTTTATCTAAAGAACGTCTCACTTACTAATGTATTATAAAAAAACTGTTTACATTTTCAAGATAATAATAATAATAATAATAATAATAATAACAATATTCATAATGGGTTATAATACTTTTTATGCTCTTAAAGAAATATAAAGTTTAACAGTGACATTTTTTAATAAAATAGTTTATTGATCAATTGATCCAGGGCAAAAATTGGCATAGTGATCTGGAAAAATTTACTTGTTGGCGTCTTTTCTTGACGTTGTAGGGCGAAGTGGTCCTTTTGCGCGAATTCGTATAAGATTATTACAGTGATCTAGAACAGCCTGTAGTGGGAGCGTAAGCATGATTGTAAGGCAAATTGATGCTACTGCGAGAATCAGTCTAAGATTCGCGCAGTGATCTGGAATAGCCTGTAAAGCAGGCGCGTTTACTTGACGGCACAGGGTGACTCGCTGCCGCTGCGCGCCCAAACAAAGATTAACGTAGTAATCTGGAACAGCATAATGTTCGCATATTTGCTTGACGGTGTAGGGAAAATCGCTACATTCGCCCACTGAATTTGCTCCATGAAGTGAATTGGAACAGCCTGTAAGGAGGACGTGTTTGCTTGACAGTGTAGTGCGAAGCGCTACATTCGCCCATGAAGTGAATTGGAACAGCCTGTAATGAGGATGTGTTTGCTTGACGGTGTATGGCGGAGTGGCAGTGCTCCGCCATATACGCCATACACGTGTTTGCTTGACGGTGTATGGCGCGAAGCGCTGGTGCCGCGCGCGTTAGGTAAAGATTCTTTCAGTAATCTGAAACAGTATAATATAGACGTGTTTGCCTGATGGCGCAGGGCGACTCGCTGCCGCTGCGCGCTCTAGACAAAGATTCGCCCAGTGATATGGAACAGTCTGTAACGTGGACGTGTTTACTTGATGGTATTGGGGGAAGCGCTAGAGCTGCGCGCGTTAGGCAAAGATTCGTTCAGTAATCCGGAGCAGCTTTAGAACGTGTTTACTGATCCGTGTATGCTGAAGCCGCTGGACCTGCCTGCCGTTAGGACAAAGAATCGTTTCAGTGATCCTGGAACTAGCTCTGTAATGTTCATGACCCGGCTGTGCCTCGTTATACTCGCGCGACCAGCTCGGGAACTCCCCTTGCGGTCCCCGATGGGCCTGGGACCGTCCTGCGCGCCTCTGGAGCTCGGTCGTGCCGCGCAGTGCCTGCCAGGAGGCGGACGGCGCGCTGCCTGGGCGCGCTGTGGCCGGGGCGACGCGGGCGCTGGGCGCGCGCTGCAAAACGGCCACGCGGACGAGCGCCTTGTAACCATCCCGCGCGAGCCTGCAGCACCCCAGCGCCTCTTGCGCTCCGCGCTGCGCCCTCGGCTCGTCCGCCGCCGAACCATCTAGGCGCTGGCAGGGCTTCGCTCGCGCCGCTGCGCCGGCCTGCAGGAGCGCTTCCGGCTGGAGCGACGAGGAGGCGCACTCGCCCACGGCTGAGGCATCTCCTGAACTACACTTGGTGTATTTTATAACTTAAGTTCCATGGTCTCTTGGCACGATGGAAATATCTAAAGACATTTCGCTTTCTGGTCTCGATCGTGCGCCTACATGTCGCATGATCGGTAACTTTGATGTTTTGATCCGCGACGATAATGCACATCTAGCCGGCAACCCGACCGGTCAAGACATGAAAAACCACCGTAAATATTCCCCATCCGTAGAGACAGGGCTTGAAGTGCAACAGTTATAAAAAATATATATTCGTTTATTCCTATCCGGGAACGTCATCTGCTCGATCCATAAACGCGTAAGTGTAGCTAAATGGTTTCTTACATCAGGCACCGCGTGGAAATTCTCCCTTGGTTGATAGATACGACGTCCGACTTACACGTCGCTGTATACGGTAAGCATCCCCTCAGGTATTGTCTCCAGCGGGGCTTTTCCAATGGACAAGCTCTAAGCTCCCAAGTGTGTAGTATAGTGCATGTAAGTGTAAAGTAGTAATTAAGGACATAACATGGAAGGAGGAAAGAAATTATCATCGCCGGTTTGTGGCCCATTTTGATAGCTGATGGAAATTTCACCTGGTATTGGATCGAGAAATCATGAAAAACTACATATGAGAGCAGTCGGCGGTAGCATAGAATTACTTTATCCAGAAACTCGAAGTAGTTTTACCGTAGCTAAATATGGGAAGTCCAACTGCAACAGGACTCATATTATTATGGACCTTCCCAGTCAGAGTTCTTAAAATACAGCGACACTGGCGTGCCTCAGATCGATCCCAGCACTGATTCAGAGCTTCACGAAGGAGCGACCCCACTAAGAGAAGTTTTAACCCAACTTTTGCCTTTAACGCGCTGCCGAGTTGCTATCCCTCTGCTGTTTAGTCCGCCACCAAGAGACAGAAGTCGAGAAGGCAACGCTCGGCATCAATCGGCTCAATCGCTAGTACAAAGCGTATGGCACGCTGCGGTACGAGTAACTCCGTTTGGCCCACCCGGACCACTGGGCCCTAGTTTTGGCGCATTTGACAAGCCTGCTACAGTATTGAACCTTCTGAGACAAAACTGCCCTGTTAAATGACTGTGTAGAGGCTTCCGCGGCCAGGATGTCATGAGAGGACCGCGACATGTCGGTCCGCAAAACGTCGACACATCAGCCATCGACGCGCGTCACCGGCACAGCCCACGGATCAAAACTGCTCCTGTGGTAATACATTAAAAAATTAATTGCCAGCTCGCTGGCCCCTGTCGCTAGGCCTCGGCTGCTGCAGGGTAGATAAAGCCGTTGTGCTTCAAAGTAGTTGTCAAGGCGTTTCGTATCTCATGAACGTTACTGTTCTTTTCGCCAGGCATCAGCAGATACTTCTCGCCAGAGCCAAATGACCAAAAGGTGCAGTCCAGAACCCTAGCATCGGTGTTTGCCTCCCCACATTCGTTTTTTCAGGAACGAAGGTGGGCGATGTCCATCACAGCTATATTCGTCTTCGAAAATCCAAACAAAACCAATCATTTTCATTCAGTGTTTGAGCGTAAAAGTATAATTCTAGTTGATATCTGTGCTACGTCATGTAGTTGGAGTTATCGTTGCGACCCCTCTTCGCAGCTGTGTACGGTGCTGGACGGGACCCGTCACGGCGGCGTGTGAGCGCGTGGGCGCGGAGCGGAGGTGTGGAGAAGTTGTAGTTATGTAGCCGCCTCTTCCGCAGGTGGACCGGCTGTCTCGGAGGGACCCGGAGCGAGCAGTTCGAGCGCGTGTGCGCGGAGCGGAGCGCTGGAGAAGTTCAGTTACGTTGTCGCCCTGCGTCGCAGTGGGATGGTGCTGGACGGGACCGGAGGCGGCGTTCGAGCGCGTGTGCGCGGAGCGGAAGCGTGGAGAAGTTGTTACGTTGTCGCCCTCAATTCGCAGGTGGATTGCGTGCTGGACGGGGACCCGGAGGCGGCGTTCGGATTGCGCGTGTGCGCGGAAGCGAAGCGTGGGAGAAGTATTACGGTGTCGCCCTCTTCGCAGTGGATGGTGCTGCGACGGACCGGAAGGCGGCGTTCGAGCGCGTGTGCGCCGGAGCGGAGCCGTATCGGAGAGAGTTGTAGATCATGTTGTCGCCCTCTTCGCAGGTGACGGTGCTGGACGGCGGACCCGGAGGCGAGGTTCGAGCGTCCATGATTCTTATAGTACGTACACCACTGATCATCCTCACACTCTCAAAGGCACAGCGTGTGCGCCGGAGCGGGAGCGCCCGCTACAACTTGCACTGGGTGCCCGACCCCAACATCAAGTGCGTGGGCGGTCGGACGGCGAGCCCGGACGCGTGGCCGTGGACGTGCGGCGCACCGCGCGGCGCCGCCACGCCCTGGCGGCGCTGGTGCAGGCCGCGACCGGCGCGTTGCGCGCGCTGAGGCGGCCACGTGCGTGCACGGGGGCGCGCGGGCGCCGCCGGGACGCGCGCCGTGGGGCGCGCGCGACGCGGCGCTGTGGTGGCGGCCGCCGTGGCGCTGGCAATCCTGCTTCCTGCGAGGGCGCGCGGAGGCGCGCGCCCGGTGACCCCGCGCCTGGGCCCTCTTCGTGCCGCGTCCTCGAACACAGAGTCCTCCTAACGCGGATGCCCGCACGCTTCAGGTCTTTCTTCCGTTTCATCATGCTTTTTGCATTTCATACACTATGTGATCAAATTTTTGTAAATGGGACAGAAATGGCACCTGATTCTGGCTGTCCTTGAAATTACAGGTGTTAATATTTGGGGATTACCAGTTTGGAAAATTACAACCTTAGTGCCTACCCGTGTGATTTTGTTTGATTGTTTCGTGTTCTCGGGTGCGTGATCTTTGCAACTATTAGAGCAAGCTGTACACTATGTGATCAAGAGTATCCGGACACGAAGCTGAAAATGACTTACCAGTTCATGGCGCCCTCCATCGGTAATGCTGGAATTCATTAAGGGGTCGGCCCACCCTTAGCCTTGATGACAGCTTCCACTCTCGTAGGCATACGTTCAATCAGATGCTGGAAGGTTTCGTGGGGAATAGCAGCCCGTTCTTCACAAAGTGCTGCACTGAGGAGAGGTATCATGTAGGTCGGTGAGGCCTTGCATTCAGTCGGCGTTCCAAAACATCCCAAAGGTGTTCGATAGGATTCAAGTCAGGATTCTGCAGGCCAGTCCGTTACAGGAATGTTATTATCGTGTGACCACTCCGCCCCCAGAGGCCGTGTAGTATGAACAGGTGCTCAATCTCCGAATTGCTCTTCAACAGTGGGAAGCAAAAGGTGTTTAAAACATCAACGCACGCTTGTGCCGTGATAGTGCCACACAAAACAACAAAGAGTGCAAGCCACCTCCGTGAAAAACACGACCATACCTTACCACCACTTTGGACGTGTCCGGATACTTTTGTTCACATAGAGTATATAGTGACCAGGGAGGAAGCAACAAAACTTCCAAAATAATTTGTAAAGACAATCTTAAGCATATTTTGCCTTATAAACTTACTCGATATCTCGAACGACTGAGCCACAATAGACATTCAAATGTTGATTTGAAAAGATATTTTTTCTGTAGAAGTTTACATTTCAGAAACATAAACACTCCATAAACGCGTACATGGTTTATTATTTACAAAAGAAATGGGTATATTTGTTCACAAAGTAAGATTTTCACAGGAAAAAATATTAAATTTTGTAATCTGGATCCATTTTTATGTTCCTACGACGATTTATGTGCAAAAATTCATTTTTAACATATTTTAATGACGCAAACTTACTGTGTTTTTATAATAAATATTTAAGAGCCGACAGATTTCTAATATAAACATTTTACATGCCAATATTTTAATTATCAAAAACTTACTTAGATTCTTGTTTTTAGTAATTAAATAGTACATTATGAGACTATGATGTAATGAAATGGTATTAATACACTGTTTAATAATATCATTTGGGCACTAATCTCCCGCTAGCGTTTCTGGTACGACGCCCTCCCACGTCATGCAGCTTGCTTATCAATGTTGCTTCCAGCGTCTGGCGTAGCTTTTTAAAGGAAGTGCTCGTGTTATCAGGTGTAGAGATGTGCCCTCAAAAGCTAAACTGTTATTTCTTAACAGTTAACATTTCGTAACTGTTATATGAAATAACATTTATTGCGTTTATCCTGTTGTGAGCTGTTATCAGTTGAAATTCATATAAGTATTTTATGTAGTATTCTATGTAGTAAATTCGTAGTAATCTATTGGGCCATACCCGAACAACAAGCTTTCGCGGCAACCTTTTTATCGATAACAGTTGTATTACAGCTAATCAGTCGTGATTAACCAGTGTTAAAATTATAGATTCATTAATAAATAATTCGTGATTATTAAGCACCATGAGCCACAATATTTTTATATTTTATAGTATACACTGCAATAAAAAATGTCCTTTAAATTAAACCCATCTTAACTTCTTTCCCGTTAACTTATTTCTGTTCCATTGCTGCTTATGTGCGATCAACTAATATTTCCATAAGACTGATAGAATAAAATGAGTTACAGTCTAATTTAATAACTTTATAATTATTATTATTATCATTATTATTATTATTATTATTATTATTATTATTATTATTATTATTATTAGCACATTACTATGCACAAGTTGTCTATCCTAAAGAATATTTGCAACCCAAATCATAACTAACATTTGAGTAATATCATATACACATTTGCTACTCGTCATATCAATTACTATTCTCATATCAGCTACTCCTTCATATCAGCTGTTTGTCTCTCCAAATGTGTCTCCAAGTAGTGCAAGCAAGTGCCGTCAAGGTAGCTGCACAAGAGCTTAAAAATGCTACCAACGTTATTCATTTTGCTCGGTTTAACTCTTAGCAGTCACCACAACTGATTTAACTCATAGCAGTCGGCCACGTTAGGTTGCTGATCATGGACCTGTTATTTTTCAACTGTTATTAATAACCGTTTTTTGTCGATAACCAGGAAGTAATTGCAGAAGATGCAAACGATTTGAATTTCATGATCCGTAAACTCAATGAACACTTTTTAAAAGCAGGACTTAATATTAATGTGAACAAATCTGAATACCTGGCAGTTGTTAAAAATAAATAGATCTTCTTGTTGAAAATGGAGTAAAAATGAAAGGGGTAAACAAATATAAATACCTTGGTGTACTTTTTAACAATAAGGGAAATAGCCATGACGAAATTGAGAGACGAATAAGCTTGGGGAGAAACGTGACACGGAGTATAAATTCTGTCTTATGGAACAATCACTAACACTAACCATCACTAACACTACTAAAGGACGTCTTTACTCCTCGCTAGTTAAGAGTGTTACAACATACGGTTCAGAAGTTTGGGAGATCGATAAAAGAACAAAAGGGAAGCTGCTGGCCCTTGAAATGGACTACTGGCGTAGAAGTTGCTGTTTTAGCAGACGTGACAGAATCAGGAACGACGACATAAGAAAGAAAATGGATGTAAAGAAATCTATTCTTGACGAAATAGAGAAAAAACAAATCGTCTGATACGGTCATGTTATGCGAATGACAGACGAAAGATGGCCAAAACGAGTCCTGAAATGGGTGCCGACAGAAAGACAGAAGAGAGGAAGACCCAGACTTGCATGGCAGCAGGGAGTGCAAGAGGCTATGACAGCAAGAAAAATGCCAGATGATCTACGGTCCAATAGAGGCATGGAGACTGAGAGCGGAGAAACGGCGGCAGCTGTAGAGCAACTCCGTACTATATATATTAATAACCGTTAATACGAGTCAATTATTATTCCGATAACAGTTATTGAAGAAAAGCTGTTACGCCCATCACTATACTTTGGTGCTTAAAACATGGCGCAACAAGACTTGTCTTCACGATGGAATATGTCACGGTATTTCGCGTCTTTCTCGGTCGTGCCGCTAGAAGTCGCATGATCGCGACCGCATCAAGCAGTGCATGTTGTTCCTATCACCTCAGCCAAAGGGCAAAAACAAACAACGACAAATTAAACCGACAACGAACTGACAGAATGACTGACATGTCGACAACAAAACACCGCCTGCTCCTTTGACTAAATCCTTGCCCACCTCTTCCCTCCCACTCCACCCTATCCCCTCCCATCCCGGCCCTGCCCATTCCCTCCCCCGTCATCCACAACCTTAATAAAACAATCCCTCTCTCCATAGAAAAATTAACCCTTCCGCCAACAACCCAGACTCCCGATCCCCGTCCTGTACGGGGGAGAGGAGTCAAACAACCCTAAACAACAACACACTGGAATCCCACTGTTCGA